TTTATTCATCCTAAAACATTTTCATTACTCCTTTTTTGAAAAGATTCATTAAAATTTAGTGAATATGTTGTGTTTTATTAATGATTTTGATATAACTTATTGATGGATAATATTTTTGAATATGTTAACATTAAAATAGTGTATAACTTAACAAATTTAATACGTTTCATTAATAACATAATTTACATGATATGTTTTCCATGATTAAAAAATACTAAAAACTAATCTTGTTTAAATGCATCGATGTTATATATATTCATATCGTTTAAGCCACATATAAAGACGATATTCTACGACAATGAGTGATCAGCGAGAAGGTATTTGCTCGAATGAAATTCATGACAAATATAGTACTGTTGTTGGGAATGAAGCTGATTGCTATGGTATGTCTTCTGTATTATAGTTATTAAGTCGATGTACGTTCCCTAGTATGAATTTTTGTATATTGTTCCTTCTTCTTTGTTCCCTTGAATTCGTTTCGTAGTTGTAGTATTTTTATAAATTATTTAGTAGGAGCAATGTTACATGTGATTAATAATGAAACTTCTTCATGTTAGAAATTGATGTGAAGATGCAAACTACGAAWAACATATATTGTCCATATGTTTTACATAAATCAATTTAATTAWAATCTTCAAAATAATTCTGGAATAAGCAAACGAAGAAATGTGTAAGTTAACATTTCATATAGTTCTAATGTTTCATTAACATGAAAAGAATATAAAACATTCACAAGAAATGKTTATGTAAAAGGTTCATCATTTAGTTAATTTTTATTTGAAAAGTATACATAATGTACTATCTCTATTTCCTAAATACAATATTGTAATGACTAGTTTCATAAACGAAGTTCAGAAAATTGAGCATGTTGCGTATAACTAATAGGAGCTAATGAAACATATGATGCATGTTAAGATTCATAAGTGTAACTATCTTGTATTATCTTTTTACAATTGTTAGATGAATTATCACAAGAAATGGGGGAATCACCRGGKGGCACRAAGATATGGGTACCAAACGTTGATAGCAATATGTGTCCAAAGGTTGGTGACTTATTTTCATCAATTGAGGCCGTAGAAAATATGTATAGGAAATATGGTGATGTTGCTGGGTTTGATATCCGGTTGGGAAGCAAAAAATTAAATGCGTTGGGTGAAGTGCAAACCCATTATTTCATTTGGAGCAAGGAGGCTAATCCACCGAAAAAGGAATTTGATTCGTTAGAAGTTTCACCGGGAGAGAGGAAAAGGCGTAATAYAAATTTCAAACGTACCGGTTGTAAAGCTTGCCTTAAGGTTCACTATGTGAAAGCGAGTGGACGGTACGAGGTCTATCATTTCATAGAGGGGCATAATCATATGCTTTGTCATTCGGATGAGAAGATGTTCACCCGTTCAAGACGWAAACTTGATTACAAGGAACGAAGGAATGTTTATCACGCATCCAGTTCTAAAGTTGGTATCACTCAGTCGCGCAGAATGCAATTGGCAATGAACGGGGGTTTAGTAGCATCTGGGGGGACAACTAGGGATCATATGAACTTTAGAAGAGACATTATGCTCTTCGTTGGTGACAAAGATGCACAAATGTTAATAAACAAGATGAGCAAACGGCGGGAACATTGTTCTGAATATTTTTTTGAATATAAGTGTGATGAGAGGGAATTGATTGCAATATTTTGGGCAGATAAAACATCGAGAATGAATTACAAACATTTTGGAGACACGATATCATTCGAYGCCACATTTCGGACAAACAAGTAAGATTTTTTTTCTTCTTTGTTAACAATTTGTTTTTATAGCAAATAATGCAATAATATCATGGTTTTAAATCGTAACAGGCATGCAATGATTTTT